TTCTCTCCAGACAGGAAGTAGCTGTCAGGCTGTCCAGGGTTCCAGTTTTCGTAGAGCTGGTTTGGGGTGTGGGGACAAAGGCGATGGTGGATAGTTTTGGAACCCAGGAGCACTGGGAGAAAGAGAGAAGAGGGAAGGGTGGACCCACCAAGAGAGGGGAAGGTGAAGAGTTGTATTAAGAGGGTCACAGGGAAAGGATGGCAACTTGAGAAGAAAAAAGAATGAAGGGAAGGAATCGTACAGGAAGAAGAAGCACAGAAGAGGGAGAGTTGTCAGGGAGAATGGTTAGAGGGCACGAAATAGGGAAGCGGTTTGAGAAGTGATTGGAAAAGGGTGCTTCAAGGAAGTGAACTAGAAGATGAGGGGCCTCTCACCAAGGGAACACCATCTGACCACAGGAAGTCGCCTTCAATGGTCCTGTCATTGAGTCCGATCCACTGGTACTCCCGGTATTGATCTGCGGGGTGACCGCAGGGGAAACGAGACGTGCAGTGAGCTTGTTGGCCAGCAGATGGCGGCCGTGCCCGCTCTCGGGCAGTCTGTAGGTGACAAACCTGGAAGTCCTTCCCGCAAACCAAACCCACGCTTCCTGCCCCAACCAGTGCTTTCGGGTCAGATGGAGGACAAGGGGCGGAGGTGGAAGCGGGTGGGGGGGGGGTACCAAGCAGGGTAATTAGTAAGGGGCAACCCTGTGAAAAGAGTATAAACTTTTAATAAGGTCAGATCGAGAAAGCCGACAGGAAAGCGCGGAAGGTAGAAAGGAGCTTAGGGTGGGTTCCTTGAGTCAAGATCAGCTTCCTGTAGGATAACTAGACCCTCCGCAGCCTGAAGCCCCACCAGCTAACTGCGGAGTGTGTAAGAGCGAGAACGAAAAGTGAGTGGGGTGAGCCAGTGAACAAGGGGGTGAGTCAGTGGAGGGCAGGTGGGTGAGCGCGTGGCGGGGTCCCGGGCCCACTGTTGATGAAGTCCTGCTCCTCGGGCGTGCTGATGCTGGCCAGGTGCGCGCCCTGCAGCCGGCACTGGTTCTCCGCCTCCTCCCAGCTCCGCCGCGTAGAAAAATGCCTGTAGCACGCGCCCTGGAAGGCATCCCAGCCGGGGCTACAGAAGCGGAGGCCTGGGGCACAGGATGACGGGCAAATCAGGCGGAAGAACCTCAGAACCTTGAAGGGCAGAGTCCGCGAGGAAGAGCCTGGGCTCCACCCGCCCGGCAGAGCGAGGGGGCGGGGCTGAGGGACAGGAGGCGGTGCCTAACAGCAAGTAGAGGGAAAGGGGCGGGTCGTTGGGCCTCTGCCTCCCCCCACCCCAAAAAAGAATGGTGAACTCCGCCCTTGCCAGGAGAGTGGAAATTATCATGAATGGAGTTCAAATACCAAGGGTTCACTAAATGCAGTTTTCACTTGGACCCCTTGATAGAGGCCCATTGGTCCCAGTTAACAGATGAGCAAGTTTAATTTAGAGTGGTCATGGGACTCGCCTCATTAGGGACAGAGCCCAGGCCAGAGCCCTTTCCCTATAAACTAGCACATGTGGCAGGGTCCAGCCTCTAGATCTCCTCCCTCATGCCCCTCAGCACACTCACCAACATCGCATAGGTCCCCCCCATAGCCAGGCAAACACAGGCAGCGGACCCCTTCCTCCTCCTCCAAGCATGTCCCACCGTTATGGCAGGGGTTGGGGACACAGTCACCTGAAAGTGGAAGAAAGTGAGGTGGGGAGATGTGGAGAACACAACTCAGCAGCCTGACCCCCATCAGTAGAGGGTCTTCAGCCCTAACCTTCCTGTCCTGGTAGCCATTGCAGCACCCTGAAAGTTGACCCTGGAGCCCACCTCTGCTCATAGCCCAGCCCTGGGTTAGTGATTTCTTCCCTCTCTCCTCCATTGCAGCACTGGTCCACCCCTCTGTGAGCCATCTTCATGTCCACCAGTGTGACCAGTCCAGCAGGGGCTGAAAGAAGTGCCCAGAAGACCCTAGGAAGCCAACTGCAATAAAGGGAGACATGAGTCCTAGAATCTCCGGTGCCTCTCTCAAGGTCCGGGACGTAGGCCTCCTTGTCTGTATTTGTGCCAGGTTCAAGCACAGTTCTGCGTGGTTTAGGAGAGTTGCTAAAGTAACAGTGGGGTATGACCTCAACTCTACCGCCTCTGGGACCTGGTACTGGGGTGACTCAGGAAGACTGGACAGGGAGCTCTGGTGGACTATTGGCAAAAAGCTGTGCTGCAATCCCGAAGGCACGTGGTTCAAGTCTACCAACTGCTCCACAGGAGGATGGGCAATCTCCCCCCGGATGATTAACTGTCTCTGAAAACCTGCCAGAGGGTTAGCTATGGATCAGTTCAATGATACACAACAATTTGCTGGACAGCATCAGCTAGGCTCTTTCCCATGTCCCATCCCTTCTCTATAGCTCAGGAAAGAAGCTGCAGGTCCGTCCACAAACATTAAATACCACATAGCCTCTTTGCCTCTCCTTATCTCTTAGGACCCTTCTGCCTTACCAGACTCTCCTCTTTCCTCCACTTCAGGACCTTAGATTCTAGACTAGAAATCCTCTACTCCATCCCACTCTCACCACTGTCTCCTTCACTACTAGGCAGACTTTTTAGATGCTGCTCAGAAAGCCTGGAATCTGTCTGGATCCTGCTCCATCTGCCTAGGCCATCAATCTGGTTCCCTGGACCCTCTCATTCTCTTTCTGAATCCTGGGATGGGGGCGGGCTGCTCTCAAGCCAGGATGTGGGTGCTAGAAGAGTTCTCAGGTTCACCCCTCTGTCATCAGATGGCACAGGGGAAGTTGGTCCTACAGACTGACAGGACAAGGCAAGGCCTTCAGCCCAGAAATTAATATCTTGCATGGGCAGGGTATTTAGACTGGTCCACCTCCTCACTAGTGGTAGAGGCCAAGGCCCACAATGCTTCACTCTGGACCGAGATTCCACTGCATGATGGGGATCGGAGGAGGGGTGGAAAGAGGGGAAGCTGGAATTGATTCAAGGAATTTTACTGGGATGACCTAGCAGTTTTGGTTAAAATGAACCAACTGTTCCTGCACCACTCCCCCTGTTGCCTCCTCTCCTGCCAATGGTTTCTCCCAAGTTCTATTCCCCTGGGCAAAGGGGAGGTATTTTGTTTAACTCATGAAGGAACAGGTTAAGAGTCCTTAACACCCCTCATCCCTCCTACTGGACTCCTCCTGTTGCCTTCCCTTGCTCCTGTCAAACCCTGCAATGTTGAGAGACAGCACTTTCCGGCTTGATTCCCCATCTAGGTCACAGGTTGACCTCAGCCCGCTGGCTGTGGTCTGGACACACAGAACAGGATGAAGGAACTCTTCTTGAGACTGTTTTTGGTCCCTCCTTTACTGTAGGGTCAGCTACTATACACAGATAATTTTTCCTGTGGTCTAACACTCATTCCTCCTACTTCAAGCCAAATGACCTTACACTCATCCTTCAGTCTGGTCTCATAGCGAGGTTAGGGGTGACTAAGACTCAGAAGATCCCCCAGCGGTGTTCCTGCCCTACACTCAAACCACTGTCCCAGCCACGTGGTGCTGAACACACTCCAAGATCAGCTAGGGAAGGAGCCAACAGCTAGAAATGAATGCATGTGATTGAGAGGCAGGGACACCCAGTCCACCCTGGCTTATCTAGGAGAAGGATTCAGGGACAGGAAGCCCCAGGCGTCTCTAGAATTCCATAGCAAAGTTCAACTTTCTCCAAGTAAGAACTTAACTCTCCACTCCCTCTCCTTTCCACATTCTCCATCTCTGATTTGTGTCTTCTCCAGCACAGAGAACTTTTGAGATTCTTTGGGATTGGGAGGGTGAAATCATTCTGTAGTATGGGAGTGGTCATTAGTTCAGGGATTAGTGGAGGAAGGGGAGGTTGTGGGTGTGGGATGAGAGTTAGATGGCATTCCTCCTGCTGAGATGCAGAGGATGGTGACATAGGGAATGTGGGTATCACAAGGGCCTTTATGCCAAGGATTACCTTAGGTACTTCTCTGTCTATATGGGATAACCTGGATGGTTCAAAAGAATTACAAATGCACACACAGGAACACTCAAGGTTGTGTAGGCTTCCCCCCAACAAGAGTGAGGGACTAGAACTCCCAACATGTCTCTGGCTGGTGAGGGCATCTCTGGGATAAGATGCACAGTCACATTTAAGATCTCAGCAGTCAGAAAAGAAAGTGTTGACAGGAGGATATGAAAGAAAGTGTTGATAGGAGGGAGCAGCAAGAGACCAACAGACTGTAAGGATAAGAAAGGGCACAGGATAAAGATGAAAAGGGAAAAGAGATAGAGAGGAGAGAGATAAAGAGACAGATGGAGAGAGGATGAGAAGGAAAGGGATGGAGCCAAAAAGAAGCATCGAAGAGCTATGTAGGACACAGATTCATGGGATGAAAGGACCAGACAGTTAGAGATGGAGACAGAGGGTCTCAGAGTTTTGGTTATAAAGTGGTTTAATAGAGATTTATTTCCGAGGCTTGTTTTCCATGAAACAGTCGAAAAAATACTTCACAGAAGTAGTCGCTTAAGGCTCCATGGGGACAGGGGCTCTCCTGGGCTCCACAGGCTGTGAGAGCAAGGAAGGAACCCCAGGCTTCCCTGATTTCAGTGGGAGTCAGCTGAAGGGAGGGGCACTCAGGAGGCGGGAGGGGACAATGGAAGACCCTCCCCCCCACCCTGAAGAGTGCAAAAGGGGAGGGGAGACCCTGAGGAGGGGGTCGGTGCTCTGCAGGTTGGATGAGATGTCACAGGGTGAAGAGTCCAAGGTTAGAAGAGGGTCCAAGGTGGCCATTGGGAATTCTCAGGGTCAGGATTTCATGAATAAGGAGAGAGTCACAAGGTGGAGATCGTGGAGGTGGAGTTAGAGCTGGGGTGGAAGTCACAGGCAGCATGTCCAGGATTGGAGACCCACAGCAGAGGTGGGTAGCAGATTGAAGGTAAATGGCAGAAGGGTCTGGGACAATGATGTATTAAAGGACTACACATCAAGTGACCCAGAGCTGTAAGGGCAGGAAAAGGAGGATAAAGAGGAGCATGGGGCCTTGGGCAGAATTACCTGATGAGGGGGCCACGGCCACTCCACCGCGGCTGGCGCTGTCAGTGGGCAGCACTGGCTGGGCTCGCCCTGATGTCCCTGCTGGGGCAGTTCTTCCAGAATTCTCTTCTGAGGGGGACTCCAACTCCCTGGTGCCCTCAGGGACCCGAGTGGCTGGAAGCATGGAAGGGGCATCCTCGGAGCTCCCTGTCTCCTCATTCTCTCCTCGGGGGACCCCCAACAACTCAGGACCCCCAATCTCTTCCCCAATTTCTCTTGCCCCAAATGGTGTTGGAGGTGGTGGTGATGCCAGTTTCCCCTCTCTAGGAGTGGGAAGGGACTCAGTGGGTGGCCCACGGACCCGTGGAGGTCTGGGAGCCTCTGACTCTCCAGTAGGAGGCGGTGATGCACCAGGTCGCAGCTTCCCCCTCGCTGGTGAGGACGCCTGGGACAGAGACTCCACGGCTGATTCAGTGGGGAAAGTCGGCTCTGAGCTCGGGCTGCCAAACTCGTTCGGCCAGGTCCACAGGGCCTCATCCTCCACATCCTCTTCTTCCTCTTTCTCTTCTTCACCCTCATATTTCTCTTCTTCCTCCAACAACTTGCTTTCCTCTTCTGAGGACTCCGTGGGCGGTATAATGGATGGAGTTTCCAGTTCTGGGCAAAGCACAGAGGGTTCAGCACCAAGGACAGCGGTCCCAAAAACCCCAGGGGAGGAGGGGAATGGGAAGGGGAAGATGCTGGGTGAGGGGCTGTGAGAGAGGGATTCTTTGTACTCTATGGAGAACTTCAGCTTGAGTTTCAGTGTTGAAGGGATACTTGGGAAGACCCTGTGATCTATCATTTATCCTGGGAAGATATAGTCACTGCAAAGAAAAAAGAGCTCTCTTTCCAGGAATTATATCCTTAGTCCAAGTTCTTTCAGTCCTTTTCAAGCTCTCTGGATCAGCTCTGGGCACTGCCAGTGCAGCAGAAAGGATGGAGAATGGACAGAAGAAAAGACTATCCAGAGAACTGTGGGTAGAATGGTCTGGAAAAGCAAAGGTTGGCAGAGGGACAGCCCACATCATTTAGCTACTAAGAATGGATGTGGCACAGTCATGACCTCCACATTGACCCCTGCCCTTTCTGCCCCTAACTTTTCTCAGGCGTTGGCATCCCCAGTAAAAGGGATTTGAGTTACCTAGGAGTGTTCTAGGGGCCTCAGCGGGGTCTTCAGGAGTGGAGCTGCCACCACCTCGATCCTCCATGATGGGGATGGAGTAGATGGCTCCACGGGACTCGCTTTCCACAGTCTCCTGAGGCAGCTGCAGCTCTTCCAGAGTCTCCGTCACTGTGACGATGGCCTCCAGTCCATCAGAGGCTGGGTCAGAGGCTTCAGGAATGCCAGAGGGTGGGGCAGAGTCTGTGACAGGAGGAAAGTATCAAAATTAGGCTAAGCAGCCATCCTCTCAAGTCATGACTTGCAACATAAGTGCTCTGGGTTAGACTCACACACCATGAGATTCTCTTGCACCTGCCCTGAGGGCCCAGGAAGCCTCTCCGGGCTTTGTCACCCATTCTTCAAACATTAATCAAATGTATACTATTTATCAAACCACCTCCTCTTCAAAGGAATGTACATTCTAGGCATAGAAAATAAACATATAATGTTATAATGTAAAGAACAATTAATCAGAGTAAGGAGATAGAATGGTGGATGGAAGTCCTTTAAGTAGAGCAGTCAGTAAAGGCTAAGGTGAGAGATACCACCTTGAATCAAGGGGACAAGTGATAGATGGAATGACCTAAGCACCCTGGGACCCAAGATGGGTGGCAAGTTCATAAGGGATCCCTTCATTCAGCCTCACATCCCAAGATTCTTAAAGTGGAAGACTGCCATCATTCCAGCGGATATGAAGTCAGAGGTGAGGAAGAGCATGTAACAGTTACCACCTGAAGACCTCAGCTAGGATAACAGAGGAAATAAAGGTCTGTTCTGTTCAAATATCTAGATATTCAGAATGAATGTCCTTTAGGGAAAGGAAGAGAAAGGAGAAAACCAATGAAGCAAAGATGGAATTGGGCTAAGAAAAGTCCGGAGGGCCGTCTGCTCAGCCAGGCGAGACAGGACAGGATGCCCTTGCCCTCATCACCTGCTCCATCCAGTAAGCCTTGCTCCATGCCAGCAAATGAACCTATGCTCTTGCTTGCCTGTCCTCCACCTGCTCTCACCAATGGCTAGCCATTTGCAACCCTGCTCCTCTCAACTCAACTCTGATTCCCCCCCACCCCCACCCCGACCAGTGCTTGAGCTCTGGTGGCTTACTAGTAAGGAACTACACTGTCAACCCAAAGATAAATGGTTCAAATCCACCAGCTGCTCTGCAGGAGAAAGATGGGCAATCTCTTCTTGTATGATTAACTTCCTCTGAAAATCCACTGTAGGGTCAGCTATGAGTAGGTTCTGACTCAACCGTACTCAACAACAATAACATCATCATAGTTATTGCTGTAGTGGTTATTATTGTTGAATTTGTCCCAGAAATTCTTCTCAATTGGACCCATCTTCCTTCAGCCATCAATATCTCACTCTGTTCCCAGTCCCAGGCTGAAGATCTCTAGAGATAAATCCAATGGGCGTCATGCTTGTTACTCAGTCTCTCCTCCTGGGAGGTGGGAGACATCTCATTTTCCTTCAAGTTGGGACTCCCATGGCAAAAGCCATGTCCTTCCCTCAGGCCAGAGACTCCCTGAGGGGCATGGCTGTGTCTCTCCCCCCTTTTTCTGCCTCCAGCCCCTTGCACCACCACTGCAGGCTCCCATGTGGGGCAAGGACTGAGATGGCACACAGCAGTTTTCCCCAGATGGTTAGATACCCTCAGCCTGGACTCTGTGCCTCCCTCCCCTCCATGTCTCAAAATAAAATGTGAGAGGTAGCCATCTGTATATCCAACTGTTCCCTATGGGGAGAATTTTGTTGGTCCATCAGTCTTTGAGAGTTAAGGATCTGACACCTTTGAGTTTCAGGTTCTGGAAACTTCCTCTACCACCAGAAAGCACTTAGTTGGCAGGGAGCATTTGAGGAGACATCTGGTTGGAGGGGAGCATTTGAGAATGTCAGTCCTCCCTACTCTACCAACGAACGGCAATGGAACATAGTTGGCAGTAAACATGGGGAAGAGTTTTGAAACTGGAAGAGAAAATGATGAACTACTGGTGAAGAGCAAATAAAGAGATACCAGAGATCAGTCCATGGGTTACACAGCTGAGTGAGGAATCACACCCAGAATTAGAGCCCTAAATAACAAAGCCATACAACACTCAGGCTCCTTCAGAAAAACAGCAAGGCTCGAGTGACCTTTAGGTAAATCCTTGAGGTAGATCTGGAAGGGTTTGACTGTGCCCTTCTGAAGTTGCCTCGGCCTCTCCAGGGAGGGCAGCTCACCTCGGAAGCAGTAGACATTGAAGCGGCTGTGCTTGTTGGGGAAGCCAGTCTGGTTAGGGAAGAGGAAGAGGGTCTTGACACCAGGTAGGCCCCCTCCACAGCGCTGGCTGGGTGTCACAATAGGGTAGCGCACACTGCCATCAGCCAGCCACCCTGGGCTGCAACGGTCCAGGCCACCATCCCAGGCTGCATACAGCTGACCCGTGGTGGCAATCTCTGCACCCCTCTCCTGGCAGTAGATCCTTGCCTCTTCCAAAGTCAGCTTATCTGGGGGAGCACCCAGAAATAGCTCTCCTGTGTGGCACAAAGAGGGCTGGGTTACAAGGTAATTGGTTTAGCAGTCATTTCAATCAGGAATCCCCCAGAGCCCTTGGACAAGCTTCTCTAGATCTCAATCTGCTCATCTCTGACATGATGTCAGCTACCCTATTTCACAGAATCAGTCTGGATAGGACCTCAGTGTAGATATTGGAGCTGAAAGAAACCAAGCCCAACCTCTGCACCTTCAGGCTGTAAAGAATGAAACTGAAGCGCAGATACACTAAGAAACAAAGAATTATGCACAGCAGGGTCAGAAGTGTCACTTGAGAGTTTAGCTTCTTTGACAGTGTTTGGAGGAAGGGATTATCTCCTTGTCCTGTATGCCCAGTTCCTGGCAGAATCCCTTAGACACATGAGGGCCAGTCAAGTCCAGGTAAGTAGAGGGTTTCACAGGAGAGACTTTGGAAAGACCTGTGGTAAATCATGGAGCTCCATTCCCTGGGAACCCTTCCTTCACCCTTAATCACCATTTAAGTCTTCTGCATAACAGTAGACGTCATAGAGATCATCTGGGTCCACTACCCCATAGTTCCGAACGCCAGGAAAGCCATCCATGTCTCCATAACAGGCCTCTCGTGGGGTCTGGATGGGATACCTGGGAGGGAGGATACAAGCATCCCATACTAATCCTCCCAAATCTCAACGCCCTCTCAGTGCAGCCAATTGTTGATAGCCTGACTTCCTCCGGGCTCCACAAGGGCACTTTCTCATTGACCCCTGGGCAGGGTCCTCACCACCATCCTCAGTTCAGCCTCCTTCTCTGAAGCAGGGAGCCCCATCTACCCAACCTGCTGCAGCCCCCTCACGAAGAAATGGGAACCCCTGGTCCACAGTCCTAGCCCACCTCACGGTCTGGTCCGACAGCCAGCCGGCATCACACTGCTCATAGCCTCCGAGGTAGGCGGCATACAGCTGCTCAGGGGTGGCGATGTGGGCCCCGATGCGGGCACATGCCTCCTGGGCCCGAACGAAGGAGAAGGCATATCGGGCAGAGCCCTCCCGGTAGAGGAAGACAACCCCTGATGGGTGGAGAGGATTCCTGAGCCCTTGGGCTTCCAGCACATTGCCCTCCCCTCTGCCCTTGCCATTCCCCGGTAGACCATGAGTAAAGTTCAAAATGCTGTCACTCTACAGCATTGAGGGGCTTGAGTTAGACTGTGAGTAGAATTTCCTCTACGTGAAGAGAGAAAGGAGGTAACAAAAGGCAGCACCGCATGAGACCTCTCCCAGCTCTGCCTCCCACAGAGTGTGTTTTCCACCTCTGACTGTAGGCTCCTTCTGTCCTTTTTTGGAGACTCTTCCCCAGCCCCGTGCCCTCACCTTTGACCTTGACCTCCACAGCATCGCTACTGTCGTCTATGCCGTGCTGGACCTCGCAGCGGTAGATGCCAGAGTCGTTGGGCCGCAGCTCGCTCAGCACCAGGGAGACATCGGTGAGGGACGCAGGGTAGGCGGGCAGCGCCACGCGGAACCGGTAGGCCTCGCTCACCTTGACGCGGAGCCCTCGGGCCACCAGCACCTCGGCCTCACGGCCCCCGGATAAGAAGGTCCACTTGACCCGCGGAGAGCCCAGCACCGCCCGGCGGCTGGGCGGGGGCCTCAGGTAGTGCACGTGGCACGGGATGGTGAGGGCCCCGCCCAGCACGCCCTGTAGCGGGGCGTCGCCAGCAATGCGCACCCGGAAAGCTCGGTCCTCTAGGAAGGCGGGGTCGGCTGAGATTTAGCGCTGCGGACTGGCTGGGTCCCGCCCAGTGTCTGAGTGTGTGCGCGCGCGCCTTCACCTTAGGTTTCCTCACCTCATCCCCCAGAAATCCCTTTACCCCATATGTCAAACTCATCCATCCCAAAGTCTTCCAGTTAACCACAACCGAAAGGAAAGCCTTGCTCCCAGAATCTGCCAGTTTCTCCCTAGGATTCCCTGGATCTGCTCTAGGGTCCTCTAACCTTGACCATGTGTCATTTAGGCCTGTCTCAGTCCCCTAGTCTGCTCCCTTTAAAGTCACTTCCAGGATTTCTCCCAACTTCACCTCTATTTTGCATCCTAACTCTGTTCTTTCTCCCACAGTTCACCATCCTGGATCATACCCC